ACAAGGTAATTTTCATTTAAAAAATGTTAATATCGTGGTTCAAGGTCCATAGTACACTCTTCCAGAGGGAGATGTTGAGTATAAACATGTTGAGTATAAACCCCTCTTTATACAGATCAGTGAGTCTATCCCAGGAAGCACAGGGAACACGTTTGTATATATTTATATAATGTCAACATGTAGAATAATATTCAAAGTAAGAAACTAACATAAACTGCTTTAATGTCATATTAATTAATTGGTTTTCCAAATTGTAACTGTGTAAAATACGTATATTATTTTAAAACTCCAGGATTATCCACATTAAAGCAATCATTGTCAATTATTCATACAGATATCATACATGAAAAAAATCACAACTGATGAATTTATACTGATTTTAATACCAATAAAAAGTATAAATGACTGCATAAGAAGTATTCTTTGACAAAAACATTTGCTAATTAAACCTGGTATTATTTTAATGGAATACACACAGACACCTACACAAGTGAGAGCAAGCTTTGGCGTCACTACACAGAAATTTCACAAAAAATTTAGGAAATTATTGATTTTTATTTTGTAATAAGTTTTGTTATTTCCACATATAAATGCTCAATCTGGATAAGTAATTTTTTTTGTGATTAACTTATTTTATTATTAAGAGATTCTGCAACAAAGAAAGTAAGAACACAAAATGGAAACACCCAAACATTGATCGTCATCACACTAACAAACTGAAGTCCAAGCAAGGGGAAAACAGCTGTAAGTCACATTATGTAAAAATTAAAAAAAATATTTTTTAGATATAAAAAATTATATATACCCAGAAATCAATAGAAATAATAATAATAACAACAAAAATGATAAAAAATAACAATAAAATGGGTACTAGGTGAATGGTAAAAAAGAAAACAAGAGAAAGAATGAGAAAATATTACAAACATGCATCATTGGCCTCTAAGGAGCTCAGTTAACTTAAAACACTAAATGCTTCCAAGCAGCTACAGATTCGGGTTTCACCCGGTTAAACTGAGCTGTAGAGTACTCTAGGTTGGATATATTGCTTACATCGATCAACCAACGCTTTACTATATTTATGTCGTTATTATACTAGTGTTAAAGGCACAAAAAAAGGATTCTCCTGTATATTATTTTAAAACTCAAGGCAGTGTCATCATTTAACAAGCACAGACATGGATCTGGGTTAATCGTAGTCGAGAGTATCTTACCCATAACATTACACACACGAGTCCATAACATTTTAACTTTGTCTCATTCCCAGAACATATGCAATACCGTTCCTACAGCAGAGTTTGAACATGAAGTACAATTAGAACTAGAAAGCAAACCCATTCTGTATAATCTATAGGCATAACATCTGTGGATTATGTTAAAGTTGGTCAACTGGTGGATCAAATTCTGGGATGTGTAGATTATATATTCTTTGCCAATCTGGTTGAGTTCTCTGTCCCAAGTGCCTGTGATGGGTAGTGATTGCCATTGGGAAGGTATGAGGGTATTGTATACTTTTGTGACCGATCCCTGAGAGCACTGTCTATTGCTGAACCACTCCGACAGTGGATGTGTCTGTATTTGTGCATCGCACTTCAAACCCCTTGCCATCAATGAAGATCATAATCGTAAATAAAGAAAAAATTAAGAGCCCAGGAGGTCAAGCATTTGCTTCAATTCTTGAAAGGGAAGTAGACCATTGTCACCATAATTGTTCTCTAAAGTGTTGAGACCCCTGGATGCTCAGGGAGCATATTTGAAAGCTTTATCTTCAGTTATAATAAGAGGGTTATTCCAAAGGGGGGATAGTTTATGATAGGGGGGCTTATTGCCAATAATTTTCTCTACTTTACACCATACCAAGAGGGAGTATGATATTATCCTTCCTAGCTTGGCACTTATATCCCTGTGTTTCTGTTTAATATACAACAAATCCTTTAGAATTCACATTTGTCCATGTACGCAGTGCATGGATTTGAAAAACCCAATGATAAAATTTTAAATTTGCCAGGGAAAGCCCTCCCTCTAACTTAGGACATTGCAAAGTGGTCGATATAATTCTTGCCCTTTTGCCATTCCACAGAAATTTAGAGATCAAAGATTGAAATTGATCAAGAAATTTTGGAGGATGGTATCATAGAGAATAAAAAATTTGACCAGGGCAATATATTCATCTTAATAGTAAAGATCCTTCCTTTTAAGGAAACAGGTAGGATATTCCATCGTTGCATATCACCATTGATCTTCTGGAGCAGTTTTGCAAAGTTATCATTAACTTTCTTAAATATAGTTGTGTATATATCCACAGCAAGGTAACATATAGAATTATTAGAAGGAATACCAGCAGGAAGTGAGATAGTTTTGGCCTCAGAGTTGATAGGAAGTAAAAATTGTACTTTTATTGTATTTATTTTCATATTCATTATTTCCACTTTTCACACAAAAGGTTAAATACACCAAATTCAAATAGATGTTTCTCTTCTTACTTAGCACAGTTTTGCTTTACTTTTATGAAGCTGAAACCCAGGATAGAGGGGCTCAGTGAACGTGGCCTGGACCCTGTGCAGGAGGGTCATTGTGTCAGAGACGCTGTAGAAGGACAGAGTTCCTGCCCTGTGATCCAGGTACACTCCTATCCTGGGGGAGGGGGGGCCAGCTATCGCATTCTTATTATTATTGTGCCGGAATGAGAAATTGGAGGTTGAGCAGTACAAACACCAGGACTTGTCATTGTATCCAATCTTGCTGGAATTACCCCATCCTTTCCTGTTGATCCCTTTATATGTGACACCTATACCAACCTCATTCCCGCTCCACTCAACCTCCCAGTAGCAGTGCCCAGTCAGACCCTCTGTACACAGCACATAATAGAATGAGTCAAACCTCTCCTGGTGATCAGGATATGACTGTTTCTCTCTCTTCCATGTCACCACTCTGTTCCCCTCAGACAGATGGATGTGTCTGTTTGCTGTGTTGGGATCCAGAGTGAGCTGACAGGAATCTGATGGAGGAGAAGATCAGAAGGTGATGTTTTGGTCTTATTCACTCTTTATATTAAAGAAGGGTGTGCACTTTTTTGGTTTAATGCTTGGGAAGGAATTTTGAAAAGTATGTATAAATAAATATATGTTTACCCTTTTATGCTTATATGGTCAAATTTACAACACGGACATCTCAGAGAACAAAATAACAAGCAGAATAATATTAATCATCAGCAGTAACTTTTGTAAACACATTGAAAGTCTCCTGACATAAACAGCTCATGTAAATGTGAAAGACCAGGAGGCAGCGGGAGAGAGAAAGAGAAGCTCCTCTAACAGAAGAAAATGAAACACAATAAAACACACTCCACCTCATACAGGGAGAGAGAAGCGTGTGTGTGAACAGACTCACATTGTAAGAATTCTGCTCTGGTCCTGGGCACTAATATTGGTAAGATGCCGTCTTTGGTAACTAGAAGAGACAGAGAGAAACAGGGATGTGAGTAAAAGGAATTTACTTGTAGCAGATGGACGTCACTGACTGTGGAGACATCAGCAGTAGGGTATTATCATTATGTGGGCATTTTAAAATGCTATAATCATCCTCAGTGAAACAAAATAGAAATTTCGAATAGTTTTTGAATCTTATCATTTTGCAGAATCATGACTCCTGCTATTTCAAAGGTTTTCTGAAAGATTTAATCTTATTGGAAACAGAAACTGACTTGGTCACACAAACTTGAGGCTGAGTATACCGTACACTCCCTCTGCCTGTTCTGTACTAAACATGGATAGACTGGAAAATGTATTTATGAACCTGTTTGATGGATCTCTGCCGTTTTCTTTTCACAAACATTCTCCAGTTGATCCTTCAGTTCAGAAACCACCTGCTTCACATTTTCAAAATAATAGTGTGGACTGACAGAGATTCTGGGTCCAAATCCGGCTTCAGGGATGACAGGAAGACCCCGGCACCTCTACACAAAGTCAGATTAAACAGCTTCATCACGTCTTGCTGTCTAGCTAAAAGGAACATTAATTTCTGACAAATGACAAACAATTTGAAATACAAAATAAAAACATATAGTGCTTTGCAAAAGTAGTCACCCCCCTTTTTCATGTTTTGTTGCCTCACAAACTGAAAATTGGCATATGCATACCTCTCCTGGAGCCGATACCTTATCGTGGTGGAGGGCTTTGCGTGTTCCAATGATCCCAGGAGCTAAGCCTGGGGCTTTATGCCCCTGGTAGGGTCACCCAAGGCAAACAGGTCCTGGGTGAGGAACCAGACAAAGTGTGGCTCACAAGACCCTTTATGATGCAAAAAATAATGAATCCACAATTTCCCTTGCCCGGACGCGGGTCACCGGGCCCCCCCCCTGGAGCCAGGTCTGGGGGTGGGGCTCGATGGCGAGGGCCTGGTGGCCAGGTCTGCACCCATGGGGCCTGGTCGGGTACAGCCCGAAGAAGGCATGTGGGGTCCCCCTTCAATGGGCTCACCACCTGTAGGACCATAGGGGTCGGGTGCAGTGCGATTTGGGCAGTGGCCAAAGGCGGTGACCTTGGTGGTCCGACCCTCTGCTGCAGAAGCTAGCTCTAGGGACATGGAATATCACCTCTCTGACGGGGAAGGAGCCTGAGCTGGTGTGCGAGATGGTGAAGTTCTGACTTTATATAGTCGGGCTCACCTCGACGCACGGCTTGGGCTCTGGAACCAGTCTCCTCGTGTGGGGTTGGACCCTCTTCCATTCTGGAGTTGCTCCTGGGGATAGGCGCCGGGCAGGGGTGGTCACACTTTTTGCCTCCTAGCTGGGTGCCTGCACATTGAGGTTTATCAAAGTGGACGAGAGGGTAACCTCCCTTCGCCATCGGGTTGGGGGACGGGTCCTGACTGTTGATTGCGCTTATGTGCCGAGCGGCAGTTCAGAATACCCACCCTTTTTGGAGTCCTTGGAAGGGGTGTTGGAGAGCACTCCTCCTGGGCACTCTCTTGATCTACTAGGGGACTTCAATGCTCACGTGGGCAATGACAGTGAGACCTGGAGTGGCATGATTGGGAGGAACGCCCCCCCGATCTGAACCCGAGCGGTGTTTTGTTATTGGACTTCTGTGCTTGTCATGGATTGTCCGTAATGAACACCGTGTTCAAGCATAAGGGTGTCCATATGTTCACTTGGCACCAGGACACCCTAGTCCACAGTTTGATGATTGACTTTGTAGTCGTGTCATCGGACTTGCGCCCGCATGTCTTGGACACTCGGGTGAAGAGAGGGGTGGAGCTGTCAACTGATCACCACCTGGTGGTGGGTTGGCTCCGTTGGTGAGGGAGGAAGCCGGTCAGGCCTGGCAGGCCCAAGCGTATAGTGAGGGTCTGCTGGGAACGTCTGGCGGAATCTGGCAGAGCTTCAACTCCTACCTCCAGCAGAGCTTCTCCCATGTCCGGGGGAGGTGGGGGACATTGAGTCCGAATGGGCCTTGCTCCGTGCCTCCATTGTGGAGGCAGCTGATCAGAGCTGTGGCCGTAAGGTGGTCGGTGCCTGTCGCGGCAGCAATCCCCGAACCCGCTGGTGGACGCCAGTGGTAAGGGATGCCATCAAGCTGAAGAAGGAGTCCTGTTGGGCCTTTTTGGTCTGTGGGACTCCAGGGGCAGCTGACAGGTACCGGCGGGCCAAGCGGAATGCGGCTTCGGCAGTTGCCGAAGCAAAAACTCAGGTTTGGGAGGAGTTTGGCGAGGCCATGGAAAACGACTTCTGGACGGCTTAGAGGAGATTCTGGTCTGGCATCCAGCGTCTCAGGGTGGGAAAGCGGTGCAACATCAACACTGTTTATGGTGGGGATGGGGTGCTGCTGACCTCAACTCGGGACGTTTTTGGTCGGTGGAGGGAATACTTCGAAGACCTCCTCAATACCACTACACGCCTTCCAGTGAGGAGGCAGAGTCTGAGGACTTGGGGGTAGATCTCTGGGGCGGAGGTCGCTGAGGTGGTTAAAAAGCTCCTTGTTGGCCGGGCCTCGGGGGTGGATGAGATTCGACCGGAGTTCCTTAAGGCTCTGGATACTATGGGACTGTCCTGGTTGACACGCATCTGCAGCATCGCGTGGACATCGGGGGCAGTGCCTCTGGACTGACAGACTGGGGTGGTGGTCCCCCTCTTTAAGAAGGGGGACTGGAGGGTGTGCTTCAACTATAGGGGGATCACTCTCCTCAGCCTCCCTGGTAAGGTCTATTTGGGGGTTCTGGAGAGGAAGGTCCATCGGATTGTCGAACCTCGGATTCAGGAGGAGCAGAATGGTTTTCGCCCTGGCCGTGGAACAGTGAACCAGCTCTATACTCTCAGCAGGGTCCGCTGTACATTAATCCCCTTGATGGTAAGAGGATGCAGGGGAGGTTCCTCCTCCTGAAGGCCAGAATCAGGTCCTTGGTTTTATCTATGTTAAGCACAAGGTCGTTGTCCTCACCATAGGCAATGATTCCGTTCACCAATTCCCCGTAAGATGACACGTCCCCATTCTTGATGAGGCCAAGAATGGTTGTGTCATCCGCATATTTGATTATTATATTGTTGTCCTTATTTGAGACACAATCATATGTGTATAGTGAGAAGAGTTTTGGGCTGAGGCAGCAGCCTTGAGGGGTTCCTGTGCTGACTGTGAGCTCAGCCGAGACCTTATTTCCCATCCACACCACCTGTGGTCTGTCTGCAAGGAAGTCCAATATCCAGTTAAAGGTGGGTGCTGGTACTCCCTGTTGTGCCAGCTTAGCAATCAGCTTCATTGGCCTGATTGTATTAAAGGCAGAACTTTAATCTAAGAAGAGCATGTGCGCATATGTTCCGTTTGTGTCCAAGTGTTGTAGTGTGTAATGAAATGCCAGAGCATCTGGCACTGCTGCACGAAAACGACGTGCAACAGTGCGAGGTTTAACTGTGGCACAGATGAGGCCAACTTCAAATATCACAGGCATATGATCAGAAAACACGGCATCACAAATCTCTAAGTTAGAAACAGGCAAGCCATGAGATAAAACAAGATCGAGTGTGTGTCCACGTTCATGTGTGGGGCCGGCCACACATTGCACAAGATTAAAAGAATCGATAAGGTCTAAAAAGCCTTTTATCATGAGCATATCAGGACAACACACGTGAATGTTAAAATCTCCCATAATAAGAACATGATCATATTTTGGCATGTATTCAGCCAAGAAGTCAGCAAAGTCGTTCACAAAGTCTTTATTGTATTTTGGGGGGCGATAAACCACCGCACACAACACAGTGTGAGAGCAGCCCAGCTCAAACACACTGAGTTCAAAGCTGGTGAATGAGAACCGTGTTGATAGTTGCTTACACTTAAAACGATTTTTAAAAATCGTTGCTATTTCTCCTCCTCGGCCCAACATCCGCGGGGAATTAAAATAGCAGCAAAAAGTTCAGAGAAGATGCTGCACTCACTAGTGCTCAGCCACGTCTCACACAGACAGAGAAAGTCCAATCCTCGGGAAGTGAAAATATCTTTCAGGATAAAAGCTTTGTTTGTTAGGGACCTATAGCATTAAGCGGGCCGATCTTGACAGGAAGCGGTACATCCGTGTCGTCAGCCGTCTTGGAAGCCCGACACAGGGGGCGCAGGTTCCGCAGATTCACCCCACGCCAGCGGGGACGAGGAGAGCAGGGTTTTTGGGGCTGGAACATCCCATCAAGGCCAACAACCGGTACCAGCCAGACGTCGACAGGTTCCAGCGAACGCCGAGGGATAGAGAAAAAAGGTGTAAAAGAGCGCCCTAACTAAGCTTTCAGCTTCACCTGCTGGCCGCTGCAGCGCCCCCGGCGCTTACGGCGGAGGGGTGTAATTGGGACACGGCACCGGTGAGCTGGGATGTCTGACAGGAACGGAGGCAAAGTTTTATGACCAGCAAAGGTCAACTTTACTAGATCATTGGCAGAAATTTGGAGATCCAACAGAGTCTGGCGATCATACACCCAGAGAGAGTTTACATTTATCGTAAGACTTAATAAAATCAACACAAACAAACATAATACTGGCAGCGACAGACGGCAAGCCACACACACCGGCGCCATCTTGAATCTTGAATTGACTGCTACCATTCATTTAGGCAACAGAGAATATATCTCTGTGTAGCCATTCAGCTGAGGAGATTGTCCATTTTATTTTCTAGTAATTGAACTTTGGCAAAGAGTATAGCCGGGAGGGCTAGCCTTCCCTTGCTAACCAGGTGCTTGAGTCTCCGCTCTGCGCCTTTCCGCCTGCCGCGCTTCCTTTTGGTCTTACGGGAAAGCCCCCTGCTGTGGCCTGTCTCGGCGTCACTCCGGCATGTAGTTGTAGCTCCAGGAAGGAATCGAGCATGCTGAAATTAGCTTGTCCTCCTTGAATCAGTTTACCTAGCTGTATTTAAGTTTCCCAATTGTACTTAATATGAGCCCTTGCATACCGAACGTGAAATTAAAGAAAAGACAAAAACAAATATAAAACTACGCAAAGTCTGACTCTGAGAGCTCCACGGCATCGCACACAGGGGAGTGCCATCTTGGAGCATCGTGTAACCAGCTAACCAACCTAATTAGTGAAATGAAGTCCACCTGTGTGCAATCTAAGTGTCACATGATCTGTCAGTATAAACACACCTTTTCTGAAAGGCCCCAGAGGCTGCAACACCACTAACAAAGAAGCATCACACCCTGAAGACTTATGGTGCGTTCGTTTTTCTCTCGGAACTCGGAAATTCCGAGTTGAGTGACATCACGTCCGACAATCTCCCGTTCGAGCTACCCACATCTCGGAACAAACATGGCTGCCTCCATGAACACGTTGCTGTGTATTGTTGCTTTATATTTTAGCAGATTTGGAGTTTTACAAATGAAGAAAATGGAGAAATTTAGATTTTTCCGAGAGACAAACAAGAAACACGAACTAGTCAAACCACATTAAAAGCTTTATAAAATATTTTAGTACATTCATAGCGATATTCTTTTTTCGAACAGTAAATAAACTACAAACAAACCAAGTCGCCATGTTGAAATTACGTCACAAGGGCAACTCGGGCAACAAAATCTTATCCGACTTCAACGTCATAAAAGGGGCGTGTTTCCGACGGGAAGTGATGTTTTTCGTGACGTATCGTGACGTTTTCATCCGAGTTCCGACTTGGAGAGAAATAATCGAACGCACCATAAGGAGCTCTCCAAACAAGTCAGCAACAAAGTTATTGAGAAGTACAAGTCAGGGTTGGGTTATAAAAAAAAAATAACCAAATCTTTGATGATCCCCCAAAGCACCATTAAATACATCATCTTCAGATGGAAATAACATGGTACCACAACAAACCTGCCAAGAAAGGGCCACCCACCAAAACACAGATTGGGCAAGGAGGGCACTAATCAGAGAGGCAGCACGGAGACCATAGGTAACCCTGAAGGAGTTGCAGAGTTCCACAGCAGAGACTGGAGTATCTGGAGTGTCATAGGACCACAATAAGCCGTACACTCCATAGAGCTTGGCTTTATGGAATAGTGGCCAGAAAAGTTCTTAGCGTTAAAAATAAGAAGGCACGTTTTGAGTTTGCCAAAAGGCATGTGGTCGACTCCCCAAATGTATGGAGGAAGGTGCTCTGGTCAGATGAGACTAAAATTGAACTTTGAGACCTTCCAGCAGGACAATGACCCGAAGCATACTGCTAAAGCAACACTCGAGTGGTTTCAGGGGAAACATTTAAATGTGTTGGAATGGCCTAGTCAAAGTCCAGACCTCAATCCAATTGAAAATCTGTGGTCAGACTTGAAGATTGCTGTTCATAAGCGAAAACCATCCATGAAGGAGCTGGAGCAGTTTTGCCTTGAGGAATGGGCAAAAATCCCAGTGGCAAGATGTGCCAAGCTCATAGAGACTCATCCAAAGCGACTTGCAGCTGGAAGTGCCGCAAAAGGTGGCTCTACAAAGTACTGACTTTAGGGGGGGGTGAACAGTTATGCACACTGAAGTTTTCTGTTATTGTGTCCTATTTGTTGTTTGCTTCACAATAAAAAAAGAAATACATCTTCAAAGTTGTAGGCATGTTCTGTAAATGAAATTGTGCAAACTGTCAAGCAGTCCATCTTAATTCCAGGTTGTGAGCCAACAAAACATGAAAAATGCCAAGGGGGGTGAATACTTATACAAGGCACTGTACATCCATTTGAATACTCTGGTTTTCTTATTGTCAAAGTAGCTGTCCTGTTACCTGGAGGAAATGGATGTGATCCTCTGTGTGTGGAAACTGCTCCAGCTCAGAGTGTCTCCTCTTCAGTTCATCAATCTCCTGTTTCAGTCTCTCCATGTGCCCTTCAGCCTGACTCACTGCAGCCTTCTCCTGATCTCTGATCAGCTTTGTCACCTCAGAGCGTCTTCTCTCAATGGAGCGGATCATCTCAGTGAAGATCCTCTCACTGTCCTCCACTGCTGACTGTGCTGAGCTCTGTTGGTGACACAGGGAGCAGAGAACAGTAAATTACAATTGGCCCCTTTTGAGACTCCAGAGAGCCTCATTGTACAATAGTGATGTGAACTGACAGGAGGTATATAAACAGCACAGGGCTGGGGTTTGGAGCATCACTATGCTGGATGCCTCAGGTACTGAAACTCAGCCAGCACTGATTGCAAATGATCACTCATTAAGCTCATACACTGTCAGACTGGTGGCTGTATGGGGCAGTTTGGTTGTCAGTATTGGGTCTCAGTTTGATATGTGAATTTTTGATGTTTCTTTGCATTACACAGTTGTATGACATGTCACCTTTTTTAATTCAATTAAATTTTATTTGTCTAGTGCATTTTCACAACATTACATTGTATCAAAGCGCTTTACATTATCTCTACCGAAAGCCCCCAAGAAGCAAGCCAGAGGTGACAGTGGCAAGAAAAACTCCCTAGAAAGAAGGAACCTTGGGAGGAACCAGACTCAAAGGGGGGCCCATTCTCCTGGGGCCGGCAGAGGAAGTCAAAGTCACATGAGCAAGATAGCAAAAGCCTCAATTCACACTATTCAAATTTTAAGATTTGAGTTTCAAAGCGGGGGGCAGGCAGGTGCATGCGCTGCTTCTGATGGCAGGCTTGACAGTGTACAGCAGTAGGGCATACAGGAGAGACGTCACAGGCAGAAGGGTGAGGAAGCTGGACAGACACCAAGGGGATGCAGGCAGTAGGGTAGGCATAATATCTTGATATTTTGGGGTCTCCAGGCAGCACAGCCCAGGAAGAATAGGGGAAATAAAATGTGCAATTAGTCAAAGTAGGGGACACTAGAGGCAGTACAAACAGTTAGGTGAGTGCAGTATGTAAGCTCCGGCAGATAAGGGTATGGCAGCATAAGTAGGAGGGAGAGGCAGGAGGGAATGCAGGCATGGGGAGTCCCTGAAACGTCAGCACTCTAATTCCACAAGGGGGTGTGAAGCTAGAGTGACAAACTGACAGTTCAGTTCATCCAAAGCCAATGGCACCGATCCCCACCCAGCTCTACACCTCACACTACAGATCTAACTGGCAGTGAGCAGTTAGCTAGAGCTAGAGTCCCTAAACAATAGACTAAACAGGTGTGTTTTTAGTCTAGACTTGAATATTGAGTCTCGCCCATCCGCTTGAAGACTGCTGTGGAGTTCTATAAGAGAATGCTCTGCAGCCTGCTATAGCTCTTTTATACTCTAGGTACTAATAGATATCCTGTGCCTTGGGATTGAAGCAAGTCAGGAGGGTTGTAGGAGACCAGTAGATCCCCAGTGGTATTCTGGTGCAAGGCCATACAGTGCTTTGTAAGTTAACAGCAGTATTTTGTAGTCAATCCAAGACTGGAAGCCAGTGAAGGGATCATAGAACTCTGGCTGCTGCATTTTGTACTATCTGAAGTTAATGTAAAGATCCGTTTGGGTGACCAGAAAGGAGGGCATTACAGTAGTCCAGTAAGGCAGTTATAAAGACTTTTTTCCTTCATCATGAAATGAAAGCATCTTCCAAAGCTTGGCTATTTTCTTTAGATGGTAGAACACAGATATTGTAATGCTTCTTATGTGAACATCGAAACATAGATCTGAATCTACCAGGACACCAAGATCCCTGACCACTGTTTTAAACTGAGTAGGAAGACCATCGAGATTGAGGCTATAAAACTTATTTTGAGCAGCCTTGGGTCCAACTAGCAGTATGAATCATCTGGTTTAACAGATACGTATAACTGTGTATCATCAACATAATACTGAAACTCAACACCATTGATTTCTAATAATGTTACCAGGAGCATATATAAAGTGAACAGTAGCGGGCCCAGTACTGATCCCTGTGGGACACCATATTTGCCTTTAGTGGGGTTGGAAGATTCATTGTTCAAATGGACAAACTGATAACAATCAGTTAAATAGGAGTGAAACCAAGAGAGAGCCTTAATCCCCTTAATGCCAAACACAGATTCTAGCCAGTCCACGGGGATATTGTGTCCACAGTATTGAATGCTGCAGTTAGATCTAGAAACACCTACAAAGATATACAACAATGGTCAGAAGCCATAAGCAAATCATCATGATAAAAGCTGTTTCTGTGCTATGGTTTGGTCTGAAGCCAGACTGATATAATTCTTTAGCATTATTTTTCTGTAGGAAAGAATACAGCTGATGAACAAAAGCTTTTTTGAGGATCTTTGAAATGAAAGGACGATTTGAGATAGGTCTATAATTTCCTAAATCACTAGGTTCAAGATTTGGTTTCCTTAGGTCTAATAACAGCTATTTTAAAAGGTTTTGGAACATATCAAAGCGCAAGAGATGAGTTTAACAAGTATAACAGGGTAATGCCTTCTGCACTACGCTGCATCCATCCATCCATCCATCCATCCATTAACTTCCGCTTTCCGAGGTCGGGTCACGGGGGCAGCAGTCTCAGCAGGGAAACCCAGACTTCCTTCTCCCCAGCCACTTCCTCCAGCTCCTCTGGGGGGAATCCCGAGCCGTTCCCAGGCCAGCCGAGAGACATAGTCCCTCCAGTATGTCCTGGGTCTTCCCCAGGGCCTCCTCCCAGTGGGACATGCCCGGAACACCTCACCAGGGAGGCGTCCAGGAGGCATCCTAAGCAGATGCCCGAGCCACCTCATCTGGCTCCTCTCAATGCGGAAGAGCAGCAGCTCTACTCTGAGTCCCTTCCGAATG